GACTGAAGAAGTCTCTTGGAGGAGAGACGAAACGTTTCACTAAAGAAGAACCATCCAGAGGACCTACATTTTCTTTTTTCTACCTGGATTAGGATGTCTTCCATGTAGTTGCTCCAGTTGACCACTGGATGTCAGTCTTGGTCAGCATAAGTCTATAACCCCGTCTCTTTGACCAATTACGTCAAGTATCCAGCGTTTAAAACTTTGTTGTTGTTTTTTTTTTAAAGGAGCTCCGATTGTAAAGTAAAATAAATCAATACATACAAAATTTTAGTATGGATTGCAAATATTTATTGTTTTTGCTGGGAAAGGGAGTTCTAAACATCGCCTTCCTGCTACGTAAGCAGACACAAAGCATTGTGGAAAATGTCTGTAAAATGTGGATCCCTGCTGGCTACTGAATAKTGTCTTTTGCACTGTGTTTATTATAATTTAACAGAAGCCATATGAGTAATTTAGATTGTTSCCAGAAAAAATACTTTGCAAAGCTGACCTACTAAAATGAGAACCGACTGMACCGTGACCCAAAACGACAGTCAGGGAGGACGTATACCTTCCAAAGTATAGTGTTTAGATGGGAGGGGAGCTGTTGGATGGATCACGTGTTGTGAGTCCTGACAGCTATACTCTGCTGTTCAAGATAATGATGACTGGTAGATAATTAGTTATTAGTTGAACAGCAATTTAAATTTAAAAAGTGCAAATCTACTTAAGAGGTATAAAAATCAATAATACCGCTAAAGTGCAAACAAGATGTTTAGGTCCGCATTAAGCAGATTAATGCTTTAGTGGACTGGTGCCCACCACTGACCTCCAGTAACAAGATGATTGAAATGTATGACAGGCAGAAATGTAGAGTACAAAATAAGCCTCAAACAAACCTTCAGTTCCTGTTCAGCATAAACAGATTAGAACTCCGGTTTAATGGGAGTCAATGGGAGGAAAACACATTTATGTTTTGATGCGTCAATCTGTAGAAAAAAAGGTGAGTTTTAAAGTGATGTCACAAGATGAACACGTTTTGTGGTAAAATCTTCAAAAAAAAAAAAAAAACAACATAAAAATGGCAAAAATCCAGTTCTGGTTCGTAAAAGTCAACTAGTCCATTTTTATGTTCCCACCGTTCCTTTCTGTGTCCCAGAACAGATGGTTCTGACCACATGTTCTCCAAGTGCATGAGTGGGTTTCAGCTCAAAATCATCACGATACGTTCAATCAGGGTTCATGCAGGTTTCAGTAAGTTAAATTTAAGACCCTTTAAAACCATTGGTAATGACATTTAAGACCAAATGGACGCATTAACATAAACATTCAAATGGTCCTGAAATTTTTTAATAGAAACATTTCCATCCATCCATCCATTTTCTGTACACGCTTCTTCCTTTTCAGGGTCGCGTGGGTCACTGGTGCCCATATCC